TTGTATAATTAATATAATTATTATAATATTATATTTTATTATTTTAAAGAGCTAGTAGCATTACTCATTTCCTGGTATCCTAGTTAAGCGACTGCTTATTGGGCATGCTTTCCGAAAGATTGCAGCAGATCCTAAGTGAATCTATTCATTAAAAGTTACCAGTTTCGGAACAGAGTTGAGACAAGGAAGGAGGTGCAGGATTATAATGAAGAATAAGGGGAGTGTGTTACCGCACGCATACCTGTTTCATTTTGCATTATCCAGACGTTAAGCTCTACCAGACTGTGAGCATAAAAGCATTTATCCTCTCGTAAGCAGCCATAATGCACCTCATGTCTGCACAGGTCAAGTTGACACCGAACTTGAAAAGGGCGGATTTTGGAATATTTCACCATAGTTTCTCGCAAAATGTGGACAAGGCACCTGTTTCAAAGGAGTCAATGTTTTAGAGAGTCCTTAAAATAACTTTGTTCATGTGTGGAAAAACCTGCAAAATAACCATTCCTCATCACAGGTTTATTCAAATGCTTTTTTAAATGCTTTTTACTCAATATAGTATCCCTACCTTCTGCTCATATAGAATTTGCAAGCTGACCCACCTAAGAAATTATGAGGTTTCTAGAATAACTCATCATGCTCAAAGTTAGTAATTGTTAGACATCTGCATGATTTTAATAAATCCAAATTTTCAAGTAAGATACACCTACTTGCAAATGCCCTTAATGTTCCTGGATCCTGCTGCGTGGATATTATACAGCCATTCTCATCTTTCAGACTGAGCTCTACTTCCCAGCACAAAATAGTTGTTCTCCCTAATCCCCCAAAAGTCTCATTTAGTTTTAAACTAAATGTTTCCAATTCAATATTTACATTTCAGTGTTCACATTTCAAAACAATGACCAGCCTGGAGCAGTCAACAATGTAAAACGGTAAACTGACTGGCACAATATATCATTACAGTGTTTTTCCATCAAAACTGAGTCTGTAAAGGTATTTTGGATACTGCCCACTAATTCTAGAAGATTAACTATAAAATGATATAAACGCTAACTACCTTTAACCTCTTTCATTCTCCACAGTACATCCATACATACGCACACGCGCGTGCACACACACACACACACACACGCATGCACCCCTCGTTCAAAGTCAAATGAGATAATAAGTACTCAGGGCAGAATTTAGTGAGAAAATTCTTATCTATTTCATGAAGCCAACGTAACCCAGGACATGAAACTTATCCTGTAATTCCTACGTCACCAAAGGCCCAATGCAAAGATTTCAGAATCAGACTCATTTTTTTTAATGTTTCAAGAAAGCCTTTCATCTTGATTTATCTTGCTGACTATGATGAAATTCTCTCTTAAAACTATTTCTTGATGTGGGAAGTTTCAGCCAGCAATTTGTCGTATTTCCGTATTCACTACTCAAAGAGTATGTCATTCTTGTACCATTTCATATATTCTTCCAGACTTCTCCAACAGTGCCCCTAGCATTTATTGTGTAACCACTACAGAGTCATACTGTAGTTTTGTTCTCAAAAATCAGACAACGTGTTCCCAAAAGGAAGCGGCATTTAAATATCATTTCTAGGCTGAGTAAACAAACATCACAAATCAATGTTCTTGTGAAATCTAGAAGTCCTTTTTCTGCAAAGCACCACCAGATCCAATCTTTCTTTCCAAGAGGTAAAGTCTATCATGTCTCACTTTTAAGTATATATTCTCATCTAAATACAAACACAAGTACTCGTTCTTTTGCGGATCACCATTAAAGACAGATTTAACTTCATCACAGTAACAGTCTTGCTGGTTTTTCTGCAGCGTTTCTTTAGTACAGGGAAGTGGGGTATGAACAAAGCAATTTAAACGCTCCCAGTAGATATCCCATTAGATAAAAATCAAGTTTCTGTCATATAAAAATTGAACTCTATTATATCTTTGAAATCTATTTAACAGTATTAGCAATATGAAGTCTCTCTTAGCTCTCCAAGAATAATTAAAGGACCTTTTGGCACACTACTTTTTACCAATTAAATTAATAAGGCCTATGGTCTATTTCAGATGCCATATTTGAGGTAAACCTGTTCTTAATTGACTAGGGTAAACTAAAGCAAAACAAGCAAATCAGACTGAAGAAAGAGCACACTTAAGACATTAGGATCCCATATTAACTTAATGCTACATACGTAATTACACCCATGCAGCTCATCTGGTAGATAAGCTATTAGAAAAGGGACACTAAAGGCAGTGGGATTCAAAGAGGAGGGTCAATACCACCATTCCTGAATGCACTGATAGTTCATTTTCATTTTAGTTATACGGGACAGTCCTTGCCCAGTATCTTTGTCTTATCAATACTGTCAAAGTGCAATGGTCTATTAGTTAGGAAAATAATCAACAGGTAAGGAATGAAAGTCAATATTCAAAAATGTCCTGAAACCTTTGCTTTTGATTTGAAATTTAAGCAGACGTACTTGTTATCTTCGAAGTCATGCATAGCAGGGTGAGAACAAGAAGATGAATTATCCTTATTCCTTTTGCTTATTATTCTGGGTTTGTGATCAAAACATTTCTGGAATACAAAAACAGGTAATTACAGAAGATATTTTATACATTTAAAATACATCTCACCTTAAGGATCCTAACAGAGACTTGAACTAGTCTCTAACTCTAAAGCTAGTCAGGTTATTATCAAACGTGTAGTCGTGTAGTTCAGTATTTCAAGTTAGTCATGAACCAAAGCATTTATTAAGTAATTTTATTATCTATCGCTATTTTTATTGTAACGTTAGGAATAAAGCAGCACCTCACAAAGAAACATAAACAATCCATGATGTTCTTGAAGAAGTCGGGATACAGTAAAATTGATCTTTCCGTTTCCTCCAAAAAGAGCTTCTCGGCTAAAGGCTCCTTTGCGCTCCAGTGTCCATACATCTATCTCCTCTTGGCAATACGCAAACGTGCAATGGCCTGGATATCGGCACTCTTCTTCAGCAGCAACATCTAAAATAATAACTTTGAACTTGACACTGCTTTCATACAATTTCTATTGGAAGTTCATCTTAATAAGACATTTACAAACTCTTGTTTAAAAAGATTTTGACTAAAGAAGCTACATCTGTTGTAAATGGGTCACTTAAGTTTAGCAGACAGAGGCAGAACGTCAGCTGAATGACTTGATTTAAATTTAATCCTCCTCAGAAAAGGCTGATGCGTATCTCTGTCAACCATCCTTTTCTACTCTAAGCCAGCAGTGCTAAGAAACCAGAATACCTATTATCTTTTCTTAAAACACAGTCACATATAGTTGTTAATTAATATACCAGTCAGCTTGCTTACATCACAAGCAGAGGTTCTTACTGCAGAAGTCCAACAAGAACGCCTTTTAAAACAAATATCAGGTGCCCAGAAATCCTTTGTTACCAGGGCAACAGTATACTCCAAGCCTATACAACAGAGTGGTTCTTTCTGTAATCCACAAGCAGTAGAAAAGCTGTGCTACGTATGTCTACAGCCCAGGAGATCGCCATGTCAGAATACACTAACTCCTGATGAGAAGGTGGGTGCACGCTCACAGAACTGCTGCAGTCAGGAAAGAAGCTCCACTTCCCAGTACTATGTTCTGCCTCCCCTCCTGGCTGGCCAAACAGGGTCACAGAAGCCGACCAAAGCTTTCAGGGGACTATCAGGAACTGGAAGGGAACTACTCACATGCCTTTCCCTGGTAATCAATACTGCATGCATACTTAGGAAAAGAAGGGAAACGGGGATGGTAAGAAGTCATACAGGAAAATGAAACAGACGTAGGGATGGAAAAATGCTGCAGAGTTACCTATGATGAAGTACAGTACAGAAGTACAGTGCATGTTCTCTAAATAATCACATTAATAGCCAAACTATGGCTCCCCTTAGGGCCTCTGAAAATATGAATGAGCCAAGTAAACTTCCTTCCCCAGCTCCCATGAAGAAGAATAAAAACTCATTCTATACTCCACTGTAAAAAAGGTAAAATATATTACTTTGAGCATAGACATTAACATTATACTACCTATATCACACATACCTTTACATATATAATATGGTCCCACATATTGTGTCTTTGTTGGTCTTGGACGTATTTTTTTCCATGATTTATCTTCAGAGTTTTTCAGTCTGCCAATTAGAATATCCTTCTTACATTTATGCTCTAAGCTGGGATGGTAGGTGTAATCCAATAATTTAGGACCTGAAATAATCACACAAAAATTAACTATCATGTTAAATCGCAGAATACTCTTAACACTTCCATACACACACTGATAAGATATGCAAACACACCATACAGAATTCTTACTTGCACCAGCAAGTCTGAAGAGCCAAAAGTTATTAACAACCACGCTGAGCAGAACAGAGAAAACTATGCATACTTACAACAGAACCAGTCTTGGCAAGACACAAAAGTGATTTTGGCATTTGGTTTTCGTTTTATTTTTATTTTTTAAAACCTTGTAAGCACTTCTGCAGAGCAATAAATTGCTATGTGTTTTTTCAAACGCCAAAGCATATGTTCTCATAACACTATTTTAAGACTTAAACTGCTCATTTATAATAAATCAACAAAGAAGAATTCCAAGGTTCAGTAAGCGGCTCTCTTAACAGTTACTATGTTCAGAAACAAAACATACTAGCTAAAAAAGTAAACATATGTCAAAAAATATAAATGCCAATCCCGGGACTTTGTGATTTTAGAAGCAAAAAATGAACCTAGCTTTAAACTCCGTTTTTAGGATGACACTAAAGTGAAGACTACATTACCGCTAAAACGAAGATTTTTGAAGGTTAGCAATGCTCTGTGAATTTTGCTATTTTAAGGCATACAAAAACAAGAGTGTGACCCAGTCTCCCTAGACAAGAAGCCGATGGAACAATACAATTTCAGGACTAAGCAGAAAAAGCAGGGGACACAAAAGTATTGAGAGAGATACAAAGAAACGGAAGAAATACATGCTTTGATATAAAAGGCCAAGATATGGATGCGTTAAGTGATTCTACCAACATTCTATAGCTCCTCCTTTCAGTAGGAAGCGTTCTGTGGTTTTTCAAACATCACTCTATTGATTTTTCTTGTAAAAATAATTTAAACATTAAAAAAAAGGTTCTTAGAACTACAATAGTCATTCCTTAAATGTGTCAATAAAATACTTGAGAAGTCTCTGTTACTATGGTGTAACGTATTACTGTAATTATATCAGTGATACCTGTAACTTGAAACACAATGCTTATTTTTAAGATTAGTCTTGATAAAAGCTATTGCCTCTAGAATACAGCTCTGTTTAACAGCAACAGCTCAGACCTAAAAGATTAGTTATATTAAAGCTCAATACAGGTTAAGATCCTCTGAGTCAACACAGTGGAGTTAATTATTACTAAGGTTTGGAAGCCTCGTGATTATGATTTAGAATTAGTTTGAAAGAACAATAAAACAGATGGGATGTGAAGGTTACCAGGTACTTTGAACTGCAGTTCAATTCCCCAAGGCCAATCAGAGTGGGTATTGCAAGTTTTTTTAGTCTTGAGCAAAGGTGTCATTCTTCACAGTACCCTGGCGGTTGGGAGGAAAGTGAATACAGAACGTGAATGACCTTACACAGCAAACCTACAGGCTGGGGAAAGGATGTAGTGATTTGTGGCGGTTTTAAGAATCGAGAACCTATTAGGACAAGAAATAAAGACAAGAAGGAAGAAGATAATATAGTGGTTGAAACATTTTACCAGTTCCTTAATCATTAGATCGTACTACATGTAAAGAATGAGTCAGAATTGAACACTGTAAGCCAACAGTATTTTAAACACTAACATGAACCCTAACATTTTTAATGTATGTTTTTAATTTTTAAAATGAACCCAAGTGAGTTCCAAAGCTCCTTACCTTTTTTGACAAAGCATAACTGGCAGGCCTGTTTTAGCTCATGTGTGCCTTCTAACGGGTTTCTTCCCGCAAGTGCTGAAGATACAGGTATATTAGCAGTTGCACTGCTAAAAACATTTGAAAAGTCATTTCTCGTTTGACCTGCGATTCCCATGTAACTTTCGGATCCAAACAAACTGCTAGGGCCATTTATCTGCTGGAAGAAAGAGTATGTTATTTGATCCATCAATCTCATTTTAATTTCTCTACAACCAATACTTATTTATTGAAATTATTCCTCAAAGCATAAGAAAAACTACACACACACACAAATCAAATACAAACTTAACCACCTATCTAAAAAGGGGACATGAAGTTTTTACAAAAGCCTTTTTCCCCAGCGGAGACTAGGAGCATAACACCACCCAACCAGGTCCAGGCAGAACAACAGCGGTTGCCAGACTACCACTCCATGCTGTGAAGCTGGCCCATGAGCATGGGGCTCTTCATGCCACCCTTCCCCACATAATCAACAGCCAGCAGAGCCACGGTTTGCAGGAAACGCACTGCATAGCTGCAATACACAGACACCAGACAGATTCACAGACACGAGGCAGTCTCTGCTCTTTTCCGGTACTAAGAGGGTCTCCCGGATTCCTCACACTTGGAGCCCAGATCGTAAGAGAGCGCTCATCTAGTCCTAGGTTAGTTATTTTAAGCTTCTACAGTATTTTCCAGCAAGTTCCTCAGAAAGGAAGAGTGGCTACAACTGTAGTCAATGTTTGCCTATCTAAAACAACCTGTGAAAATTCCCGTAAGTTGTTTTATTTTTCCCCTGTGTTCAATCATTGTTGCTGTGAGCTACTGTACAACTGTTTCCATGCCAAAATCATATTTTAATGAAGAAATGCCAGCTTTAACACAAACAAACAGAAAACTTCCACTGTAAAAATTAAGATCTACTTTAAGTCTTCAAGGTATTAAAGATTTAATCAACGTGAAAGAAAACATGAAAAATACTTACAAACAGAGGGGAATTATTGCTGTTAAGCGCTGGCGTTCCGTCTCTAGAAGCTGAACTTGAGAGATCTACAGGAATTTTTAAAAAGTTGTAATTATTTCATTTTCTCAAAACATCCTATTCCAAAACTATTTATCCTTCCTCAAAAGTTAAAGTAGCAACGGTTTGCTTTACTGACAAACAGCAAAGGATTCTGTTTGCTATGGTTTTACGGTTTTTTGTTGTTGGGTTTTTTTCAAAAGTAAAAGCACCTCATACGTGTCAGGGCTGAAAAATTACAAGCTCATCTTCAACACAACCATCTGACTAAAATCAGCAGTAGCTTCCCAGACATATGCTGAAGCAACATAAAAAGACCTGTGCAATACAAAAAGCTTAGCTAAATAAGCAATACCTGATCTTCAGGAACTACAGCATGAAAGAGGGTTAAGAGCATTCTTTTATTTTTACTTTTATTTTATAGTAGGCTTCATTAATGATTAAAACAATACTTTTATTTTCCAGTTTACTGGCTATTTCTTGTTATTTCACATACCCGATTTTAGTGTACAATTATAGTCCCTGAAGTGTGAATACAAATAGGTAATGCTGGTATCTATCAGGGTAGGCAATTATATTAGCCTTTTGGAATTCGTATTTATTGTCAAATTATGAGAAATGGTTGAAATTGTCAGAACATCTTTGTTTTTAAAAAGACCATAAGTTAACAAGTTTCCTTGTTTATTTGTTTTTACCTAAAACAAATAACTTGCACAAAAAAACCCACAGAAAATCCAACAGAGGGAGCCTGCTACACGCTTATGCAGACCCCAAGCAAACAGTTGTATTTGTAACTTCTTGTTTTATAACCAATACTGATCATCAATACTCTCAAAAAAAATGAAACAAATATTATGTAAATGTTAAATTTTACTAAGTAGTGGAGAAAACTCATTTGTTAAAGAGAAGTCAGCTGGTTCATTCACAATTCTCTCTCAAAATATAAGATTAAGTATTTATAACTCAGAACTCATTTCTTACCTCTTTTTGGATCACTGATTGAAAAGGTGCTTAATGATGAACAAAAGTTTTCCAGTGAAGAAGCCAAAGGCTGTGAAAAGATTTCTGAAAGAGAAGGTGAAGGAACAAATCCCCCACCAACTGGCAATGTCCCCAACAAAGAGGCAGAAAAAGGTACGCTAGTAGCTACACTTCCTGCAGGAAGAGCTCCTCTGACTCCCGTAGTTTGCTGGAAGGAGGAAAAAAAAAAAAAAAAGAAATATACAGGGAAAAAAAAAAATCAAGAACACGATCTGTAATAATCTAGCTCTTAGTATGTTTTTTGTAAAGCTTTTATAATCCTACTGAAAAACAACAGTAAAAAAGTACACTATCTAGAACTACCGAAATCAAACCTCAGTATCATAATTCTGCAAGGAATCACCTATAGATCAAGCACTTAAAAGGTTCCATTAACTTAATAATAGATTTGCATTTTTCTGAACCAAATCATCAGAGCTGAATTTTCAATATTAAATACACAAGCCAATAGGAAAGAGCAGGAAGAGTCAAAAATCTAAATGAACTCTACTAAATGGAGATTAATGAATATTTCAAATTATAATACAGTAAAAAGTTAGTTAGCTTTAAAATAAATCCTCAGATACAAGTCTAGCTCTAATGTGACAGAGCTCTGCATACGTCATTCACTTTTCTTTCCAAGGAAAATAACAAAGGTATTCCGAGGAATATGTTAAGGACACCACCAAGTGAAGGAGTTTCAGTTCCTCCTTTCCACCACCCTGAGAAGCTCCCCCTTCGTCAAAAGGGGAACTAATTCGGCCTGTACAGAGTCTGGGGCAGTGTCAGACTCCCCCTGGTCCCCAAGTTGTCAGTCTGCAACTCACTCAGATTCCACACTCGGATTACATTGCAGTCTGCCTTGGAAGACTATGTTCTAGTGGCTTTCACTATGGTAAACTTCCTAGAGGATCTCTTAAAAAGAATTATTCTCCACATTTCTGAAATACATACCACAAAATACAGTGCATAAAACCTAAAATTAGGAGTCCAGGCAGCCTTGATTTAAAGATGTCACATAAGACAAAATCAGTTCGCAGACCAATCTTACTTACAGCCGCATCCACAGCTGAATGAGGAATTAAAAATCACAACTAAGTGAAGAATTAAATATGCCAGCTTCATTTAACAGTGCAATGCTAAGGGCCCCAGCTGACTGGCAGGGCCACAGCAGAGAGTCGGCAGCCCTACTCCTAAGTTCGGCCACCTCTGCTTATCAATCAGAGCTTTCATTTTGACCGACAGCTGAGGAACTCAATATGCTTTGTATTCTCTTCCAGCTCTGGAATGACAACGTGATTTAGAATGACACGTCAAATACCTTAAATTCTCTATTAGTATCTTCTAAAAATATAAAAAGTTAGACTAATAATGCTCTATTTCTGGTTATCCAGGGCACGGGCCTGGAAACGTCACAGAGATACTAGTGCACGCACTAGACGAGCACAGTGTTAGGACCCTCCTGTCCTGCAAAGCTACTGGCTGGTACTTAACTATAGCTTCTCTAGCTATGCTGTGGCTGTCACATCCAACACCCTCAGGTTCTGAGCGCGCTTATCTGCGCCGCACAAATACATACCAGCTCAGGCTTCAAATATCTGCTTCACTTCTCGTAGTACTTCCATTTCTCTAAGTAGTATCCTTCCCCAAGCAACCTCACTCGGGTTTTCCAACACACAAACCCAACATAATTGCCCTTGGAGCTATGTGGCGTTCCAATACCTTTACAGCCACATTTACGAGGATCTGCACCTGCCAGGGTCAAGAGGACTATGTGCAAATACAGCTCAGTGAATCTAGGACAGTTAATCCACACTTCACTTCTAGTACTTTATAAAAATACACGATCCCCTTTAAAAGAACAGTCTTTCAAGAAGGAAAACAAAAAATATTACCATTACACTTTCATCTGGATCAGGCACAGAATCAAGTAACTCATCAAGTTCTTCCCCGATAATTATATCTCCATCTCCACAGTCTAAACATGCTTCTGGTATAGAGAAAGAAACACTTCCTCCATTTGCCAACACTGCAGAAGGCAAAGAAACCTTTTCCACTTGAAGAGGCATAACAGAAGATAAGGATGGTACAGGTACTGATGCCAAGTCTTTAGATACTTCAGAAGCAAAGTTTGAGGAGGATGAAGCAGCAGCAGAAATCATCTCTTGCTTCTGTTCAGATAAATCTGAAATAGGTAAGAGGAGAACGACTAGAACTTCTATTCAAAGATGTAAAAATATCTCCCCTAATTTTTAGCCTGATGATTGCGGGGGGGGGGGGGGGGGGGGGGGGAATGGGGAATGACGAAACACGAAAGATGGTTAAGCAACACCAAATTAAATGTTTTCAGCTTCCATTAACTTCAGAACTTGTACGTACATACAGGTGTAGTGTTTATATACTGCTCAAACTAAAAAAAGACAGGAAAAGTTACAGACTTGACACTTTACTAAGTCTTTGCCATATTCTCCCCTACTTATTAACATTAGTTAACGTTCCCCTCCCTCTTAACATTAGTGGCAGTTACAATCACATTAGGTTGAGATACCCAATAGAGATCAGCTCAGTCACTTAAATTTGTGTTTTTAGGCATAAGCAGATCAGACATTTTGCCACAGATCTTTCAAATGACAAGACGAATTTTATGATGAAGAAATTGCATTAAAAGTGTAATGAGATATGCATGGTCTATCTAGCTTTGCAGTATTAATACTGCAATCCAACAAGACTCACCTAACTCAATATCTTCTACAGAAGAATTCTGCAAATGAGAAAAAAATATCTCTCAGTACTTTGAACAAGAGTAATTAAAGATTCTCAAATATATATTTTACAGACCAAGAATAAGTCCTCAGAATTAGGTTTTATGAAATTTGCAGTTATAAAGTCCAAGTCTGTTATAAAGTTCAGTCTGCCGTTTGCAGACTGAAATCCAATCCTTATATCACTAAGAGTTTGTCACCAACCAACCACGGTGAGGCTGATCCTTCAGGGAAAGAAAAAATCCAAGTAGTAGTTTAAATTATCTGCTCCCCTGTTTCCTCATTTTAGCCAAAGTAATCCATTTATAGCTAAATTGCCTATATTCCTGTGGAAAAAGTCTATAAAGTGACAATGAAGAAGAACTACTCTTAATTAGTTCTTCTCAGGCCCATTATAAATAGCAAGATAAATGCAAGTTCAGCTGCTAGTGAAGATCAAATTTGGACAAACGAATAAATAAAATCCCAGCACCCTTCACTTGGACTACTGACATGAAATATAGACATATCCATTAACTACGGCCTTGCCTCAAGATATTAAAAGTAAATATGCTCATTGCATTGGATTTAATGTTTTAGCTAATATTTAACTTGAATTATAGCCTCGTGTTTAATCTGCAATACATACATAGCAAAACTGCACACAAAGACTGACAGAACCCTGAAGCATCCAAAAATAACAGTATCTTAAATAAAATATTAAATAAATATTTATTGCACCACTTTCACTTCCTTTTTTGAGAATTTATGAAGCAATTATTTCCTGTAGCTTAAAGTTAGCTTAAATTAGGAATATGGAAAACCTTACCTTAGCTGATATATCGTTAGAAACCGGGCTTGAGGAAGGCGGCTGCAATGAAAATATACCCTTAAGTTCAAAATTGGTATCAGGGGACAGAAAGCTCACTGTATTTCCAAAAATTAAAACAAAATCTTACCTTTGCTCTTACATATGCTTTCCTTATTTTTAAACCTAGTTTTTGAGCAAGTTCTTGAGTAAGCTTAATAACACTTTCATCCTAAAAGAAATACATAAAATTTCATAATCTATATGTATTTTTATTTAGTCGAAGGCATCTGTTCACCTCTTAAGTGGTCTTTGTTCTGCAAGATCCCCATACACAGGATGTTTCATAACATATTTTTATTCTTTCACATATATAAATGACTGCAAGCTAACTCAGAAAAATACAGACGCTACCCTCAGACAAACTGAGTTCGATCTTTACAATGAGAAAAACATACCAGGAAATAGATGAGATCCCTTTCTTCCAATTATTCAAAGCAAAAATAATGTAAATATTTTCCAGTACTAGAGAAAGTTCAAAGCATCTTATGTGAAGAAAGTTACATATTATATAGTTTAAGGGTATTTTTACAAATTGGGGACCACATTTCTTAGGCATTTCAGGTAAGGCGGGTAACATTGCTGAATAGTTAATAAGAACACTGTATTTTGGCAGGAATTGCATCATACAGCTAGAGAAGTTGAGTTAAAACTGGTCATATTTCACTCTTTC